TGGGAGGTACATAACACAGAAGGTACTTCATCCAAGGAAGGATCCAGGGACTTGTGGCATTGTTGATGCTGGGATGGAGCGGGGATGGAGCTGGGACAGAGCTGGTCGATCCAGATGCAGCCAGCGCTTGTTGCCACTCACTGATGTGGTTAAATAAGCATTTTAAATATGAGAAACTGGAGACAGAGCAGAAAACACCACAGGCACAACTATGATACCGAGGCTGGAGGTAAAAAAATATCCCAGAAGGGAACCTGCAGAGCCCAATCTGCTCATGCCTGTGAGGGCTGAGAGGTGCCCGGGTGCGCTCAGCACACTCACAGCTGAAAAATACGGGCTCTTTAATCCTGCAGGAAATGCCTAACAAGAACAAATGGCTGGAAGGTGAAGCCAGGCAAATTTGTATTAGGGAAAGAGGGGGCCAATCTTTAAAGGCTGGGACTGAGGAGCCCTTCCTTGGAAGGGATTATTAAAGGCAGGGCTGGGTCTGCTTTTGCGGATGTCTTCAGATAAAAGGTGAATGCTTTTCTGGACTCAATCCCTGGGCCAAACACACTTCATTAGGCTTTATTGGTGTGCCTGGATCTGATCAATTAAGGAGTTACATGTTATGTTGTTATTTATGACCCCGAGTGCCGCACATCAGCGCGGGCAAGACACGGGGGGCTTTGTTTAGTTTTGAAGGAAATACGCCCGGCTGATCCCACCACTCACTTTTGAACCAGCAGGGCCGAAGGGGTTAATCGCTTCCCTGTGACAGAGGAATCATTTTGAGTGTTGGCCAGGCAAACAGGCTGGGTTGGGAGAATGAACTATCAAAAACTGTCAGGGCATGAATAGAGTTATCATATGAATGGATGTTCCCCGGAGATAAAGGCAGCACCAAAGGCTGCCAGTGAGGCCAGCGGGGACAGGGGGAACACAGGACACGGGCAGAACACAGGACCCAAAGGGAACAAAGAGCAGAGGTGTCGGGATGTCTCAGTGAAACCAACACTTCCCCAGGTCCTGCCTGCCAGGACCCACTCACCAACCCCGGCAGGACGCGCGGGATGAGCCTCTCTCCTTCCCTCCTCTCTCCCTCCCTCCCTGAGCATCTTTTGGGGCTGGGGTTTGCTGCCGAGTTGTTGCTTTTCTTTTGGGTAAACTATTTTTTCTAATCGTTTCTCAGCGAGCAAAAAAAAAATAGGGAATTCTTTCTTCCGTGTAGCAATTCACTGGGTTTTCGGTTGCGCTTAAATTGGGCTTCATCAGATCCATTTTCACCGTCACCAGAATGGGTGCCCATTTATTGTCGCTGGAAACAAACTCCTCGTGATTTCAGGAAACAAGAATTCAAGGAGAATGAAAAACCCCACAGAGCAGGTGTGTTTTGTGCGCCGTCGTGTCATTTTTTCTGCAAATTTGGGGGCTAGATTTTCAGAAGTTTTATAAGCTGTTAATACAGGAAGGATGGAAATGAAGATGACACCAGAAACATATCCCTGTGAGGCTACCTAAAATCATGCGAATATTGGCTTTATATCAGCATTTTGGGAGAAATAAAAAAAATTAAACACCCCCGAATTGTTTTTTTTTTTACAAGCATAGCCCGAATCAACTCCCTGTTTTAAACTAATCCTTCTCCATCTCCCATCACTATGCCTAAACTCTCTTGTTTCCTATTCTTACAGAGGAACACACATCCCCACAGCCTTTTGAACACAGAAAAGGCGATTTCCTCTCCCTTTCAGCGCTTTGCCTCTCCCGCAGCCCCGACTTCGGCATTGCTGCAGAGGGGTAGGAAAGTAACACTGAATAAATGTGCAGATGAGTTTTTCTGTTTGAGCAGAGAGGCAATTAATGAGATTACAATGAGAGATTAGTGGGGGAGGCCGCCACGGACCCTTCCTCTGGCCCCCGTTTCGGGAGCGCAGCGAGCGGCTGGGTTTTCCTAAGGATCCTGGTGCTCTCCTACACCCCATCCCTGTTGAGTGGATGAACAAAACACCTCCATCCCCAAACCCGTGGTGCGAGGAGAAGACAAGCATCCCCTTGTCATCGGCTCTGCATCCTCCCCTGTACATCACCCCATCCCTATCACCTGCTGTCCGCCTCGTCCAGACCTACGTGCCCCAAAATGCTGGGGGAGAGGTCCCAGATCCCCCTTTCCTGCATGGCAGTCCCACTCAAGCTCACCCACAGGCCATGGGGTCTGCACTGTGATGGGGAGGAAGGTTGCCTGCCTCACGGGCATCACCTCAGAGGGAGCAGACCCCAGCAGCAGCATTTAAGTGCCATTTTTCGGCAGAAAATATGATTTTGTTACCCCCTGCCCAGGTTCCAAATGCGGTCATTTCTGCTCGTCTGATTTTCTTTCAATACAACAAAGATATTTCATATTTTATTATTTAACTTCAATTTGTGGTATCATATAAAATATCCACTTTATTATTTTCACCTGTGCAACTCAGTGTGCAATAGTGTAAATATTTTAGTCTCTCACACTACCTTCATATTATTAAAAATAACTTTCATACTTCCCTGCTCTAAAGCAATTTGACAATTTCAGACAAATCTTTCTTACAGTGCTCCAAATAACAATCTTTCGCATCCTGCAAATTTTCACTAATCTATAAAAAAAAAAATCTGAGTTTTGGCTTTCGATGCATTTTGCAATGGCTGCCGTGCCGAAATGGGGGATTCCCATGGAATGGTGATTCCCTTTTCCTCCTATTTCTTGGGCACCCACCGCATGCAAGACTGAAAGGAATAAAAAAATATAAGCTTAAAACTTCTTGGAAAAAATCTTTCAGGAAAGAGAAAGGCGCTGGGAGCTCTTGGAAGAGGAAAAAACCCAGGATTGAGGGTGGTTTTTTTGGTTAATACATGTTTTTATACACAAATTGCCTCCCAACACGCGCCTGCGAAGCGCGGCACGCCCGGCCTCAAGTCTGCTTTGCGGCTGTAATTTTCTACCCTGCGGTTCTCAAACCAGCGTTGGGTTTGCCGGGGAGCACAGCCAGGGATGCAGGGCATGGAGAGGCTGTGGGAGCAGGCAGGGGTGACGGGCAACGGGGCACCCTTGTGCCACGGCGACGCCCTCGCTCCGTGCCCGCACGCACCATGTGCGGTAGGAATGGGGTGGTCAAGCCTGGCACAACCGGAGTGTGGGAGACCCCAGGGTTGGGCTGCGCTTTGCAGCATCTCCCCCACATTTCCAGCCCCATCTCCGTGCCAGGGTGCTCAATGACAGGCACCACAGCTGCCCCAGAACGGGCGCTGCTCCCAGCCCATCCCAGCACCCCGGGACACTGGGAGCTGGCAGGAGCCTGCAGACACATCCCCAGCTCCACCACCCGTGTCGCAGGGCCCAGCTGGCACCGAGCTGCCCCGTCCCATGGCACGGGATCCACAGCATCCACAGAGCCAGGAGCATCTTCAGGGGCGGAGGACGGAGAACCAACAGCTTGCTGGAGCGTCCCACAATTTTTCCTGGTGCCACCCAGCACCCAGGCCTGGCTGTCCATGCAGACACCATAAAACCCACCCCAGCAGCCAGCGATCTCCTCTGCAGAGGACAGCAAAGAGGCCCCAGCCTGGCTTGTCCATGCCCGAGGTCCGCCAAGTCCAGGCAGGGCTGTTTGGCTTTGTGGGGCTGCAGCGCCCAGGGCAGCATGGGCAGCGTCCTGCACCACTCTCTGCCCAGGGCTTGGGGCACGGGGCAGCACACTGCACCACAGAGCAGAAGCCAAGCAAGGGCTGGAGTTGTCAGGGTGCTGGGACCCCATCCTGCACCCTCATAGCCCATGCCCAGGAGTGAGACCCAATGCAATCTCCCGGCACGGGCAGGAAAGCTGATGAGGAGAGGAGCAGGAGGAGGGCCAGGAAGTGGGCAGTGGGCAGAAAACAGGATTAGGACCAGCAAATAGCTGGAAATGGGGAACGAAAGGGAGGAAGGTGCTGGTGTGTGTTGGAAGACGGCAGCGAGCACAAGGAGCTGGCCCAGCGGGGTACCACAAAGCGCATGAGGCACAGCAGCGCCAGCCCATGGGCCTCAGCATGCCAGAAGGATGGCAGGGATGCAGGGGCAGGGTAAGGGAGAGATGCCACTGCCAGCATGGGGTAGGGACATCAGCCCCAGGGCTCGCTGCAGAGGGCTGTGCCGTGGCTCTCAGGCACAGCAGAAGGGAGGAAGGATGCTGCTGCCAGTGCCAAGGACACGCTCGGGAGCGGGAACGGCAGATCTCTGGTGATGAAGATCAGCAGACCCAGGAAGCAGCCGTTGCCGCTGCTGCCAGCGCAGAGGGAGGCAGGAGAACGGGTGGGTGGCAAGAGCAGGAGCAGCACTGCCGAAGCTGAGTTCTCAGAGAGAACTGAGACACCAGAGTAGGGACGTGGACAAAGGCCAGGGATGAGGGCAGCCAGCAGCAGGGCAGAGCAGCCGGGTGGAGGGAGCAGGCCTGATGTGGCTGACACCAAGATGTCGGGAGAGGATCCCTGGCTGCATCCCTGCTTTCTACTTCAGAAGTTTCCAGCCCTTTCTCTCACGAGAAGTTTCCCACCTGAGTGCCCTTTCCAGCTCCCTGCATCCTCTACACACCTTCCCATGCCCACCCGCTCACTCCATCCCAGCCCGTGCTGCTCGGCCAACATGCCCGGCCCTGCTGCCAGCTCTGGTGGTGGGGATCGCCATGGCTGAGCTGGTGCCGGTGTCCCTGTCCCTTCTGCAGCCACCCCTGCGTGCTGCAGCAGAGCCCCGGCAGGGGAGGGAGGCAGAGCTGCCGGCATTGCTGCAGAATCAGGTCTTCCTGCCCAGCTCCAAAGTTTTGCCTCTGGTGCAAAAGCTCCGGGATCAGCAAACTCAGCCAGGCAGGAACCCGGAGCTGCGTTCCCCTGGGAGCACGGAGAAGCCAAACCCGGCAGAGCTGAGCCCGTGCGGACACAATCCAAACAGCCGCAGCGATCCCGTGGGTCCCCCCAACACTGCCCCGTCGCTCCAGGGCCACCCCGGTTCCTACCTTCGCTGGTGGTGGCAGAGAGGCAGGCAGCCAACGTGATGACGATGGAGAGCGAGGATGTCAGACCCCCCTGTGCCCATGCCATGGTCCGGCGGGGCCACCAGGCGCGGGACAGGGCCACCTCTGTCGTCCCAGCACCTCTGCGAGCGAGCTACCTCTGTCCAGAGCTACGGCACTCACCGGCTAATGCAAAGGCACTTTGCGCACATTGCTCGCAGCCACACAGGCGAGCGAGCAGGGAGGGAGCAGCCTGCCCGTCACCGCTCGCAAGCCAATGGGCTGGGTGGGCTCTGCAGCGAGCCCCCCTTCCCGCGCCACACGCGCACGCTGTACCCAGACCCGGCATCCGACTCGGGCTCCCGCTCCCCACTTTCACTCATCCTCCCGCCCTCGCAATGCTCCAGCGGTCCCCGCTGCTCCCCCGTGCCGCCCATCCCTCTTCGCTGCTCTCGGCCGGCTGCGGCGAGACACAAACTTGCAGCCCCTGCAGGAGGGAGCTCTGCGCTCGGTCGGGGTCAGGTGTGAAGGGGACGGGGTTACCCGTCCGTCCCGGTGTGCACGGAGAGGAAAATCCCCTGTAAGTGCTCCCCTTGCGTGTCTGGGGAAGACAGGCAGGACACCCCCCACCCTGATGCTTTCCATGCCACGTAGTTCTGGGATAGACGCTGTCTGCTTGCCCTTGACTTGGGGCAGTGGGAGCAGGGGACAGCAGGGCCAGGACTGACAACACACCCTGTCTACAACCACGTTGGCCACCTGAGAGAGGGTCTTTCCAAAGCAGTTTGGGAGGACAAAGTAGTTGTGCCAGGCGGATAAAAGGCCGGGCACTGGGCAAGGATGCCCTGTGACAGGGGGTCTGGGCTTCCTGGGGAGCACAGAGCATCCTTCCCACAGCCTCTGCATCCCTCCTGCTTGAAGCCGCCAGAATTGCCAAGCCAGGTGAGTACCTTGCTCAGCATTAAACACTCGACATCTGTCAACAGACCCCCTACAGCGGCCACGACTGCTTCCCCATCTAAATGCTGAACAATCACTAATACCTGCCTGTGGTAACCACAGATGCTGACTCCCACCTATGCCATGTGCAGGGGGCTATTTGCTTCTTCCTCTATGTGCTCATGGCCAGGGACTGATGTGTGATTGCAGCTCTCCCCTGGCCCAGGAACTCACCCCAGGACGAGGCACATGGGGCAGGATGGGCATCTCTCTCTGTTGTCTCTCTGTCGGGCCATCCCTTGGATAAAACTCACCTCAGGCTTGCTCAGTGGGGTCAGGGTGGGAGGGGTGTTGCACACCCTCCATTCTACCCTGTGTGCCAGCGTGTTCCCTGGAGATGCTGCACCCCATGCCAGGGCACCCCATGGCACCACCAGCAGCTTCCTACGTGCCGGAGTGAGAGGGGCTCCCTGCCCAACTCACAGCACGTGGTGGCAACAATTCCTCATTCAGAACGGATGAGGACTGTGCCTGCAGGGTCATGTCTGCACCACTCATCACCAGGACCTGGGAACGGCACAGGGCCTCAGGTCCCTCCAGGTTTTTTACCCTGGCTGCCTGGGAAGCTGTCCGTCCCGAGACAGTGCTGGAGAGATCCTGTCATCAGCGGTATCATGGGATGGGCTTTGCAGAGCGGCTCGGGCAGGGACACAGCTGTGGTGTGGGAGGACGCCAGACATTCCTAAGGCAGCTGGCAGGGGCTGAGCTGTGCTGTGGGGCCAGGGGTGCAGCTACACGGTGGCCTTTGCAGTGGACCTTGGACCAAAGGGGTTAGGGCTGATGGTCTCCCAAATCGTCCCCAGAGGATGCTCCAGTAGCTGCACCCCTGCAGCTGGTGGGGAGAGCAGATTTTCTACCAGCTATCACATTGCTGCTCTGACCTGGACGTCTCCTTCTGCTGAAAGGGCTTGTCACAGCTCAGTGCTGGATTCTTCAGCCCTCTGTTCCCAGTGCCCAAGCAGAGCCAGGCACGCCAGAGGAACAGCATTCCCACTGCCACCATGTTCCACTTGGCTCTTGTGAGATTCCACCTGCCTCCAGCTCTGGAGCCCCAACATCAGAAGGATGTGGACCTGTTGGAGCAAGTCCAGATGGGGCCACAAAGATGCTCCAAGGGCTGAAGCCCCTCTGCTACAGACACAGGCTGGGAGAGCTGGAGGTGTTCAGCCTAAAGAAGAGAAGGCTCTGGGGAAACCTTAGAGTCCCTTGCAGTCCCTAAAGTGGCTCCAAGAGAGCTGGAGAAGGATTTTAAACAAGGGCCTGGAGTGACAGGACAAGGGGAAATGGCTTCCCACTGCCAGAGGACAGGGTTAGATGGGATATTGGGAAGAAATTCTTCCCTGTGAGGGTGGTGAGGCCCTGGCACAGATTACTCAGATAAGCTGTGGTTGCCCCATCCCTGGAACTGTTCAAGGCCAGGTTGGACAGGGCTTGGAGCATCCTGGTCTGTTAAGTGGTGTTTGGAATGAGATGGTCTTTAAGGTCCATTTCAACACAAACTGTTCTATGACTCGGTGATCTCAGTCCCAAGCTCTGGAGACAAAGCTCTGGGGAGGCAGCAGCCAGTTTTGGCCTTGCAGTGCTCCCAGTGCCATGCTCCAAAGCAAGGGATTCACCCTGCAGACCTTCAACACATCCCAGCTGCCCACACAGGTTCTCCAGTCCCTTGATGCCATCCCAGCCTCCTGTGTCACAGGAACGTGGATCCTCCAGTCTTGCAAAGGTGACAAGAGCTACTAGATAATGAATCTCCCCCCCAGCTTTTGGCTTTGCTGTGACCCAGCATCCCAGAGGAGCTGCACTGGTTGAGCACTGTCACAGAGTGTAAAGCGGCTTTGCAGGAGCCAGGACAAAGTGACTCTGGAATAGCTTGCCCCAAATCCATCCCAGGGAATGGAAGGCTTCTCAGGCACACTGTCATCTCTGGGAAGAGAGGATGATGTGTAACAGGGTGCAGAGGGGTGCTGGGACAGTGTGAACTGTGTACTGTGATGCAGTGCACACACTGAAGGGGTGTGGGGGTAGGGGGCAGACATCCTGCTTTCCCTGGACACTTGGGTTTGTGGTCAGGATGTGCCTCGTGTGCATAATCAGTGTCTGTGCGTGGAGGCTGGGCACTGTCAGGGGCCTTGGAGCTGGTACAGATTCAAACACTTGAGAAAGAACCTGGGGTGCTCCTGGCTGGGGATGCAGACCCCTTCCATACTAGGATCCATGTGCGACCACAAGGCATCCCAGGAACCCCGAACAGACTGGGAAAGAGCAGTATGGAGGGCATCATGCCAGGATCCCTGGCCTCTCTGCCCACCTGCATCCTTCCCCAGGCTTCCAGTCAGTTCTCCCTGGCCTGAGCTGGTCAGGGCCTGCTGTGTGCCTCTCCCACCTCGCTGAATGCTGCTCCCTCTGCTCCTTGGTGAGTCTCTTGCCACGTCCCTCAGCTGTGGTCCCACACCGGGCTGTCACGGAGATGGGAAGGATATTTATAGATGCTGCGGAGAGAGGAGAGCACAGCTCAGACAGGGAGGATCAGCAAAGGAAGGGAGCCAAGCCTGGCTGTACCCCCTTTGAGCCCCACCCGTGTCACCGTGCATTTAGCAGGGAGGCCACAGCCATCTTGCCAACTCGGCAGCACAGACCTGAGTGGGTGTTGCCCTTTGCACTCTGGGGTTGCCCATTGCAGCCCTGTCAAAGCAAATCTCTGCCTGGGCTGTGGAGGGCAGCCCAGCCCCTGGTGTCCCGGCGCTTCCCCACCACATCCAGGCACTTCTGCTCTCCTGTAGCATTTGCAGAGCCACATGCCTTGGGGTCAAGACTGGTGGAGGCAGCACAGCTGGCAGACATCAAGGGAGTGGCACCTTCTCCCCACCCACCCCATTCTGTGCCAGGACAGTAGCAGAGCCAGGACTCCCCGCTCCCCTGAGGAGAAGGTGATGCTCAGGGCAGGGAGCAGAGCCATGCTGCAGGTCTCTGTAACCCCTGACACCTCTTCATCCATCTGTCTCCTGCTGTACATTCCTTTCCCAGGAAGAGGAGAGATGATGGGACATGGGTGCCCTCTCCCAAGCCCAGTGTGCATCCCTGTCCCACTCAGGGAGGATGAGGAGGAGGATGAGGATGAGGATGAGGATGAGGATGAGCTGAGTATGACCCTGAGCAGAGGTAACACTGCACAGAGGTCCGTGATCCTCCTGCAGGTAAGGGGACAGAACTCCTGGGGGACTTTCCCACCCAAATGGCCATGAAAAATGCTCCATCCATGTCTTGTCCAGGCAACACACCTGAATCCAAGGACCTTTAAAACTGGGGTCTAACAAATCGGGTTCCTACTGCCTTCCACCCCTAACCCTGAGCCCTTCACCCTATGGCAAAGCTCCAGAGATCCCAGGATAGGAGGAGGGTGCTGGACCCATGCAGGTGGGACATCCCTACACTTCCGTGTCTCTCTCATCCCCCAGCAAAACTTGCACTTTGGTGCCCCAGCCTGAGCTGCCAGCAGTAATTCCCAGGGAACTCCAGTGAGCAGCACGTAAAGATGTCTGTGGACATCCCTTTAAACTGGCATCTGCTACATAAACATGCTGACAAGTTATCTACATCCATATAACAATTCACCTGGAGCAATCAGGGTGCTACATCACTGTAATTCCTTGTGCTGTGCCAGGGCTGGGACAAATTGCTTGGCTGCAAGGCTGAGGATCACAGGGACCATGTCTCCCCTCCTCCCTGCCCCCTGGGCAGCCTGTCAGGTTCTTTTCCCTCTCTGGTGCCCTGGGGTTGTTCTTCTCCTAAAGTGTCAGGACCCTTTTTTTGGCAAGGTGCCTGCCCTGAGGAGCAGATGGAGCGATGCCTTCCCTGCCTGCCCAGAGCTTACTGGGGCTCACCAGTATTCCCATCACTGCCTGGCCTCCTACCCACGGGAGCAGCCATCAAGCCAGGGTCTTTCATGAGGTGACACAGCTGAAGATCTCCCCCAGTCCTTCAGTGTGGTCAGGTGGAGGGTGCTGTCCCCTTCCTCGTTACCACAGGTAGGTTGGTTCCATTAATGCCAGGGAGAGGGTGTTAGTCCTGATGAGGGATGGTTGACCCTGGCCAGATGCCAGGTACCCACTAAAGCCTCTCTCTCACTCTCCCTCTGCAACTGGACAGGGGAGAGAGAAAAAAAACCAGGATTCATGATTCATGAG